GCTGGGATTCCAACCTGGGTCCTCTGCAAGGGCAGTTGCTACTCTTAACCGCTGAGCCATCTCTCCAGTCCCAATAAGGGCCTTCTAAAAAATTACAATATTTATTTGTGTTTGTGCGTGTGTATACAGGTGGGTGTGCATGCTACAGCATGCATGTGGAGGTGAGGACAACTTCTGGGGGAGCCAGTTCTTTCCTTCCACTATGTGGATCCCAGGGCCCAAACTCAGGTTGTTAGGCTTAATGGCAAGTGCCTTTGCTCCCTGAACTATCTTAATGACCCCAACCACTTTTTTATTGTAGGAAAATGTATGTAACATAAAAACTGCCATTTTAACCATTTTGAGCATATAAGTCAGTGTCATTAAGGACTGTCTCCAGAAACTTTTCATGTTCTAAACCATAACTATGTAACTACCTATTTCTTTTCCCCAGCCTCAGGCAAACTCAGTATTAGGTCTTCTGTGTCTGACTTACTTCACTTAGCACTATGTAGCATGTATCAGAACTGCCTTCCTTTTTAAAGCTGAATAGTACTCCACTGTAGATATAAAAGTTTACCCATGCATCCATTAGTGAACTATTGGGTTTGTTTTTTTTTTTACCTTATAGCTATTGTAATTCATATTGCTATAACATTGGAATACAAATCATTGTTGAAATAGTGAGGAATTATTCGACATTCTTCATCATAAACCTATTCATTATAAAACTTTCAAACTAGTAGCTAGTAGAAATTTGAATCCACTGGTAAATTCCAAATCACTGAAGGAAAAGGCTCTAGTCATACCACCTGAGAAATCTTTGAAATGATATTTTAGATGTTCATAATATATCACCCCTTCTTATCATCTGGTATGCCACATATTTTTGGTTATTATTTCTACCTTCTGCTCTTCCCACCTGCTTCCTCTGCCAAAATTTAAATGAAATGCACATCAACATTGTTCCTGTTTTGTTTCTTGCTGTATCAGTGTCACACAGGACTATGCCTGCAACAGTCAGCAGTCAACAAAGTTGAATGAATTAATGATCGACTCAGTGAATCAAGTGTTATCCACCTGTGTATTGGCAGACCATCATAGATGCCATCACCTATTATTCAATGAAACCTTGTTTGGCAGTGTAGTGAGTGCCTGTACTCTAGAAGGCATGAACTTTGCTTATATGTACTTGGCTGTTACAAATTAACATCATTTCAAAGGGCTCCAGATTTAGCTTCTTTTGAGTTAAAATTCATTTGCCTGGTGCAGAGCAGTCCCGTACAAAAATGTTATAGACGGATTCTAAGTTCCTGGAAACAAGTATGAGAAATAATTACATGGTACTGGGAAATGAAATAATATCTAGTTCAATGGAATACATATATGGTATCTTCTTTTAACCCCTAATTTGAGTGTATTTTTCCTAAAGTTGCGTTGTGTAAAGTACCAGAAAATTTTCCTCATTTGAAACCTAGACTAAAAGGAGGGATAATGGAAATCACTTTGAACTTCTGAGTAGACGTTATATGACCCCTTTTCACAAAAAGGTGGAAACAATCTTGGCTTTCTTATAAGTGCATTTTACAGTTTTCTCTCATTGCAAAGATGGTTTCCAGTACAGTTAACCTAGGTGTTAGTAACACTTTCATAGAGTTCCTGTCTCTGCCTTTGTCTATACACAGGAAACTTAACTCTGGTTAGGTGATGTTGGGAAGTATTCTTACCTCTGGCTTGGGTGGAGTTGGTTTCCTTTTCTTGGATTTTGGTAGGGATATAATCTCAGTTCCATGAGAAAGGTGCTCACAATGCTGGTGTCAAATTCCCACATCAACTTTCCCCTTAATTGCTAAAGTTTGACATGTCCCCATGCTTGTCTCGAAAAAAACTCCTTTATTAGCAGTGAGGAATTAAATTTCCCATGTAGACAAATTAGCTTCTAAACTATACAGGAAACAAACACAAACACAAATGGGGCAGGGCAGACCCCCCCTCGTTCCAACCTGAAGCTTTTTCTGAAACAGCATCTCTTCTCTTCTGTCTACTCAGTCTTTTCCGCTCTTTTTGTTGGCACCCACCACCTGGTTATTTCCTTTCCCGAAACAACTTTTAAAGCTATCTCAGTACCCATTAAAGTACAAGTAAAATACAGGTGGTTGCTAAAAAGCATTTTAGAACAGGGAGCTATTATGTTTGGGTAATTCTTGAAAAGTAGGAGAATTCTGTAGGGGGACTGAAAACTTGATTTTGTTCTAAGTAAAAGATTTTTTTAAAAAGTGATAGGAATTGGCTTAGAGAGAAATTAATATAGCAGGGTAGGAAATGGAAGACTGTATTTTTGTAAAGAAGCCAAATTCATGGTCTTCTGTGTTAAATTGGATGTACTGGAATGTGTGTCACACAGATTTTCAAGTCTGATACTTCTGAAGTTGGTGGCTTTACATACACACCTTCAGTCACATAAGAAGTGATAAAATATAAGCTTAATTTTATTCAAACACAAATATGCTCACGAACCCACTTTATTTATCCTGGTGCAGCAGGAGAATGAGGCAGAGGCCAGGATGTAAAAATCACAGATTACTCTCTAGGCCATAAGCTAACAATTTAAAGCACCTCTGTGGAACACAGAGGCAACACTATTCGTCAACTCCATCTCCATGTAAAATCTGTTTTGTTTTTATTTTTAAAGTCTTTCAGAAAACAATAGATCTGATTTTTAGAATTTTATAGTTTGATAATTCAATGAAACATATGTTTCAGCAGAAAATGAGCTTTGACTATTTATGCATTCAAACAATCCCAGAGAGGCTTTGGGGGTGGGGGAATGTTTGAATGCCCTTAAAAAAGAAAAGCAGGAGCTGGGCATGGTAGCACACATGCCTTCACTTAGACACAGCAGCAGGTAGATCTCTATAAATTCAAGGCCAGCCTGGTCTCAAAAACAAATGAAAGAACGCCTCCAAAGTCTCTAAAACCCACAATCCATTGTTCTCATGGGGAAGAGTACAGATGCTGTTTGTTTCTTATAAAGACTCCTAGTTGTAGAAAAAGATATTTTGTAGATAGTATTCCTCCCTGCCTCCCACAAAACAATGTTTGGAAATTCTTGTGTTAAGCTAATTTGCCATGAGAAATATAAAGCCCTTTAATGGGCTACCCAGGGCCCTATGGGGTTTTTTTTTTTTTTCTTAACAGACACCATGTGGTGCAATCTGTTACAGTCTACAAGGCGGGGTGGGGTGCTGGAGCTCTGTAGGGGCCAAGAATAAAGTCATCTGTGGGAATTTTTGAAGTATTCACTAAAATGAGAAAAACTGTACAACTGAAGCCTTAAGACACCTTCCCTTATGCCTTAAATAATTTATATTAAGGTTTATTAGATTCATACTTAATGAAAAAAATAAGCAAACTAACAAGTCAATCAATTTAGGGAGAAAAACCAACACAAAGCCTTTTCTGAGTGCACTGCCGTTCATTTTGTATTTTAATTCAACCTACTGGTGATTTAATTTACAGATCTCAAAGGAAGTGTACGCTCAAATATTTGAGGACGTTAACGTCTCAACCACTGTTTAATTTTGGAATGTGCCTACTTACTTGACACAATATTTTACCAGCTAACAAATGTTTAGCCTTTTTTTTCACTTGACTAAAGAGAACTAAGTTCCACATCACTCCCGTTCACCTTCTTATGCGCATATGTTGGGAAAGACTGGATGTTAAAAAAAACCTTCCTCATGTTCCTCTCTACTACATCTAAATCTGTTTACCAATTTGGAGCTGCTAAGAAACCTGCATTTTCCTGCTAAATCAACTGGATGGCTAGAAACCAAACTGTAATGTAACAGAAAAAAAAATTATCAATTTATTTTCATGACAGAACAGTCTTGAGAAGGTATAAAATTGTTCTGGCCGCTATGCCAGCTTTCTTACTCCTTCCTCTGTCTTCTTTTTAAAGACGCTTTCAGCTTTTAAGCTGATACTTTTTATAGCGATGTAACAGCTCTAATATTTTGTGACATTTTGTATTGTGACACTATAGATGAAATTGTCATCGGACTGACACCCTGTGCTGTTTATTCCTTAATTACAACTGTTAACACTGCAGAGAAGTGTGCGAATCTGCCAGCACATATTATGAAAACAATATTATTGTTACCCAAACCAACACCCACTCAACAGGACATTCCCAAGATGGCAGTTCCTGGGGGCTCACCGGAACAATGGACGATTCACTAGTTTTTTATTGTATCGGATGCTTGTGTGTTTTACCTGGTCCTACTGTCTTCTTTTAAGCACAAGTCATCTGGGTATGGTGGCTCATACCTGTAACACCAGCACACAGAGATTGAAGCAGGAAGACTGCTGTGAGTTCAAGGCCAGCTTGAGCTTAGAGACTGTCTTGAAGACAAAACAAAAAATAGAAGAAGAATCTCTGCACTAACAATAAAAACACAAACCAGTTTGTTGTTTCAAACACTTCTTGCAAAATAGCACAGACAACCTTATAAGCAGAGGCTGTCTCTTCAGTTAGGATATTTTTTCTTCCTCGGGCTCCAGCAAATTGTGATAAACTGAGGAGACTCAAAGTTGTTTTCTTTAGGGTTCAGATCGTTTTTTAAATTTTAGCAATAAGGGCATTAGAAAGGGCAAGGTGAAGGGTAAAAATATTGAGGGAGGGGTCATCTGCACATACAAGGTGGGCAATCTTCAGAGGAACCAGTAGATCTCAGCGGTCTCTCAGCCTTCCTGAAACTGGCTATGTACCAAATGCTTTGTGTTCAGAATCTGAGGCACACAGTTTTGTGAATCTACTTTCTGATACCTAGCATTAGGTGAAAGGGCTAAGCATCTCTGTCTTTTCTTCTGTTAAAGAAACAGCAACTGTAAGCAAATAGCCACCTTGATCTTGTACCTGTTCCCACAATGAAATAACTGGCAACTAAGGTTAGAAAGCCCCGTGCCAACCTGTTCAGATAAGAATGACAGTAAATCCTTCAAACACACACAACACTGAGTTAATAAACATTCCACCTTTAACACTAGTTTTTAATACTTTCATGGATTTAGTGAAAAGCAAATTCATGACATTGAAATAGCATAACTTGAGGCTTCTCAGTGAATTCTCATGGCTACATTGTCATTTAGGAGGTAATGAAATGGTAGAAAACATGTTCATTCCCTAAAGTTCCTGCCAGTACTTACATAGTTTCGTTAAATAGGTTTTCTGAAATAGCATACGAAGAAGTTATCACTTTGCCTTGCTTTGAATGGTGCTTTCTGCTTCATTTTGATTTTCACCACCAATCGGATCAGGTGCTCCTCCAGAAAGAAACCGTTCCCATTTGGGAATATATTCTTTTACTGATGCCCAGTAACAAGTCTAGAAAAAAACCCCAAAACAAGAAAGCATATCAAGCAGTTGAACTTGGCTCTTCATAATCATCTAAATGTTTATGCACTTCAGTGTGTGTGCGTGTACACACATTCTCACACACATGTATGTAGAATACATTTTCTCTACGGAATATTTTATGTTAATTTTAGAAGAAAAAAAAAAACCTGGCTACTTACTAGTGTTAATTTTCAAATTTCTCAGTAAAACCAGAGCCTGGCAGAATTCAGGTTTTAGAATTTTATTGTGATTTTACACGCCCTCTTGTGGCCAGCCTTGTGATTATTAACAGTTGTATCATTTATGGCTACACATCATTAAATATATCTGCTTAATGTTCTAGATCTCATGCCTAGATTACACATGTTGAAATTATTAGAGCAGATTAGACATGAACAGCTTCCTCAGAATGATCATGAAATGATTTGACCTGGAATGAGATCTGGAACAAGAATATGTGTTAGGGTCTTGCATGGCCTCCTCAGATATATGGAAAATATGTCTCCACTTATCTTTTAAAAGAATATGACAATTTGATATGACAAATTGTCATTACAAAAATTTGTGTGTGTGTGCATGCAAATGGGGTGTATGTGTGTGTATGGTGTGCACATGCCTGTGGCGGTGAAGATACTAGGCACCCTGCTCTGTCTCTCTCTGCATTACTCCCTTGAGTCAGGGTCTCTCACTGAACCTGGAGCTAGGTTGGCAACCAACAAGCCCCATCTCCCATCTCCACCTCCCCACAGCGCTGGGGTGACAGGCGAATGCATGAGACTCAAAACAGGTCCTCATGCTGGTGCAGCAAGTGTTCCTACCCAGTCAGCCATCTCTCTGGCTCCTCAAATTTCTTTTTATGATGAGAAAGCAATAGCTAACATAATTTGTAAACAGCTTGTAAGTTGAAATACTATTATTTGTCTGACTGTAACAGTCTATTGGCGGTAGAAGTTCACATGCTGTTGCGCTGTGTAGAAGCTTTGATGGTTTGGGGTTGACTCCCCAAGGGGGCCAAAGTTTATGAACATTACATATTAGATCAACACCATCAGTTTTATTTTGGGTTAATTTAGCACTGAGTTAGATAGCACTAGATACACAGAATTATTCACTGTTGCGCACTGAAAAGGTACAGTGGTTCTGATGTTTAGAGATAGTGTGAGGGATTTTATCTATACATCTACATATGTAGTCCAAGAAAAAGCCTGCCATACTTAAGATAAAGGTCATCCCGCTGTGCTAGAATAGCTCAGAAAAATACCATCCAAGGCCTGAGGTTGTGGGTTTCTCTGCAATTCATGGCTGGATTAACCCTATTGTGTGGGCCCTGTATGTGCTAGAGTAAGGTATTGGAGAATTCCACAAAGGACAAGCCCAACACACAACTTTGTACCAGAGTTTTTTTCTGTATTTAATCACTGCCTTTTCTGATTATCCTAAATGACACAGAAAATTGAGGGGCAAATTCTCAGCCTTTAATTTTGAGTCTATTCATATCCCCAGTTGGGCAGAAAGGAAAATTACATTTGAGAAAGCTCATTAGAAATCGAAAATGAAACTATTCTATACGTAATAGATTCCCATTCATCATAAACACATTCATATACCAAATATGGTTTATTTTTGCCAACAACCTTCCCAATCTGTTTTTGAAAACTGACTAATAAAACCACACTGTACTGTGTGGGAAACATGACAATATACATTTGTTTACCCTTTTTGTTGTTCTCTTGTTTTGCAGACTCGCAGCAATTGTCCTGCTCAGCCTTCCCAGTGCTAGGCCTGCAGGACCACTTCACTGTGTACAGTGGTGATATGCATTTAAATAGCTTCTCTGAGGTCAAGGGATGAAATGCTCCTTCTAGCTCTAAAGAGCAAAAGTACCTTATCATGCTGTCACTTGAAGATTTACAGCATAAGGTCTGTTACGGTTTAACGGGACAGTTGTTTCAAAGTGACATGGGTGAAAAGACACAAGATCTTTATAAATTTCCATTAAATTTCCTTAAGCCTTGGTGGTGCTGGGGTTAATATAGAAGAATGGCTTAGGGCTGAGCACTAAGTCTCTTATTCTCAGCACTTAAGGCTAGTTATGCATCTCTCCATTGACTGCTGTTCACTGCTAAAAGAAGGTCCTCTGAACAAGGCTGAGTGCAGCCCAGAATGATGGGTATAAACAGAAATAGTTAGAAGGCAATTTGGCAGCATGGCCACTGAGGAAAATAACAGCAGGTTGTACCCTAGGGCCTATGACCAAAAGCTATAGGCTTCTGACCAGGATTATAGTTGCAGGCAAGAAATTCCCTCTGGTGGAACAGGCCTCAAATTCAATGAGAAAGTAGTTACCCCATCACAGTCATGCTGTATTGCTCCAGTGGGTACATCTTGCCTGACAGGTCAGCATTGCAGCACAGAGAATAAAGCACTGGGTAAGACTATTGATGCCTGTTCTCCCCAGCCTACATGGCACCTTTGAGCTCTATGAAAACTAGCCAGCAGGGAGGAAGTTTCCTGGTTGGTTTGAGATTGATTTCTCCATGTCCTGGAGCCAAAATGTGGTGTCTTCAGCAATAGGGTCTTACCATGAAATTCTGGTGAGTAGCCAAGGGCAATGACAAGAGCCTGTTGTTCTGGAGACCTCTGGGGCCTCTCTGACCAATACCTCATAAGCAAATACCCCATGCCTTATACTGTGGCTTTCATTTAGTAACCCATGCCTTCTGGGAGTGGCATTGTCTACCTATGCAGGGCAACACTGTTCAAAGAGGAGGACAAAGAATGTAAAAAAGCCAGAGGATAGGGAAGGGTACTACGAAGTGATGTCTTTCAGACATGGCCTGGCTATCACAATTATGATCTCAAAGCAGCTGGGGTTACCTCCCTAAGATCTACACAAGATCAAGCCAGCCAAAAATCTCAGCAAAGATGGGTAGACGATCTCCAGGCCTAACCCCATAATGAGGAGCTACTGGCAGTGGGTAGTTGCTGAGGGAGGGAAGAATCATTCTTTATTGAGAATATGGCCACTGGTGGGTTTCCCATGCTCAGTTGATGGTCCTACGCTTATGCACACATGGGTAGGACTGACTAGACTTAGTAGGTTATTTTTTTTTAAAAAGACATGAAATTGTAAGGGGGCATATTAGGGGATATGAGGGGAGCTGGAAGGGGTAACTACAGGGCAGACATGACCATATTTCATTATATACATGTATTGGGAAAATAAACAGCAGACCCCAATCTTATCTAAAGGAATGTTGGCAACTAATTGCTGCTAGATGAGGAAGAGCTGATCTTCCTAAAACAAGGAACTCTGGATAGGCTGACTAGACTCAGTGGATGGACAAGCACTGGGGAACAGCTGGGGGCGCTGACAACACAGTGGACAGTAAAAAGGATGACAGAGTACATAAATGGGCTCCAGTGGGGGGGGGGCTATGGGAGGGTGCCATTTGGGATGCAGGTATAAAGATGAATAAGATTGTTTGGGATGTTCTGTATGAAATACAAAAAAAAATCAGTAAATTAAAAAAATGAGTTATATTTGAGGAAGCATAAAAATTTGCTTCATGTTAATTAGTAGGTATGAAAAACATTACCACTGAAATCTACCTGAATTTATATCCATGCTCAGGTACCAAGGACCTCAGAAAGTAACCATGACTAGTAATAATCACATATATAGAAATTAAGAGACGCATGTGCAAACATCTAAGTGTTAGTTGCATTAAAAATGAGTTTTCTGCTGGGGGTGTGGTGTACACCTTTAATCCCAACACTTGGGAGACAGAGGCAGGTGGATCTCTATGAGTTCAAGGCCGGCCTGGTCTACATAGTGAGTTCCAGGTCAGCTGGGGCTACAGGGAGACCCTGTCTCAAAGAGACTGCTAAAAAAAAAGAAAGAATTGCCGGGCGTGGTGGCTACATGGTGAGTTCCAGGACAACTGGGGCTACAGGGAGACCCTGTCTCGAAAAGACAAAAAAAAATAATGCCCCATAGATATTCCCAAGGCTAATCCAGTAAAAAAAATTCCCCAAGGTTTCCTCTTCCTAGATGTCAAGGTGACAATGATAAGTAAATCTTGGAAATACAGACATGTAGCCATTGTTAACTCACAGTGAAGTAATGAATAGTCTCTTGTTACATGTGGTTTTTATGAGTCTTACCTCAAGAGAAAACACCTCAGGCTGTGGGTGTGGTTTAATCCTGGTCTGAAAAGACTTTTCAGCTGCTTCTATGTCCTATAACAGACATCAGTGTATTTATACATAACATCAATGTCAATCAATACCACTGGTACCTGTGCCCCAAATCTCACCTCAGCCCTTCTCTGGATACACAGTGAGTTCACACTGTGGTGAAGGAACACAGAGGTAGGAGACCTGACTACAGATCAATTAACCCACTTCCACTATGAGTGCAGAGCTTTTAATTTAAACCTAGGAGTTGTGGTGGTACTTCTGTGCTCTGCCTTTTCACTTTGAATAGGTGCTAAATGCCAGTAATTCCTGCAATAAAAAGCTTCCTTAAAAAATTCTCAGAGTGGGGCTGGAGAGATGGCTCAGTGGTTAAGAGCACTGACTGCTCTTGCAGAAGACCCAGGTTTGGTTCCTAGCACCCACATGGCAGCTAACAGTCATGTTTAACTCTAGTTCCAGGGGATCCAACGCCCTCTTCTGACCTCCTCTGGCATTGCACGGCATGGTGCACTTACATACGTACAGGCAATACACTCATACACATAAAACTAAAAAAATAATAAAATATTTTTAAAATGCTCAGAGCAGTTGGGTATGATGATGCATGCCTGTAATCTCAGCACTTGAGAGGCTGAGGCAGGGAGATTCTGAGTTCGAAGTCAACATGCACTACATAAGGAGACCCTGGCAAAAAAAATCAACAACACAAACAAAGATCAGAGCATTTACTTAGCTTTAAAATTACCTAAAACAGGTAAAGTGATAAAACAATCAAGAATTTAGGTACAAAACTTGACACTCAAATTTACACTATGCTGAGCTTAAAAGCAGAGTTTCATTTTCTGCAGATGATATGAATTGGCATATTAATGGCACATATTTTATTTTATCAACATTCCATTTTTTTAAATGTTATACCCATGCAAATATTTCACATAGTTAAAAGATGCTCAGAGTTAAAAGTTGAGTTACCTTGGTACTTTGTAAAAGGGCATTTTTACAGGCATGTCCAATCTTTTGACATAGTGACATAACATTGTGATCTACAGAGTTCACATTTAAGAACCACATAATCAAGTTACAGCCCCCCACCCCCATGATGGTTTAAGTAGAGGTTTACCATTTGTGCGGGGATGCACCATACCTATCTGTAGTCATGCCCAGCACTCAGGATGGGTTGGAAACTCCCTATAGATTTTTAGGACTAGATTTCTAGGTTAATTTCAATGGAAAGTTTTACTGCTGGGCAGTAAGTACATCACTCAGTGGATGACATTCAAGCACCATGCTTAAGTTTGTAGCTTAATTTCAAGATGAGTATGTTTTCATCTGTGGTTGTAAAAACATCAGGGTAATTAAGCTTAACCTGGTATAATTTTTACCTTGATACACACATGAAACACATGCCCAGAAATGTAGGCTTCTGCATGCTGTTATACAAATACTTGAGCCTGGTTAAGAAATGTCCCCCGAATCAGCACCTAGGTTGTCTAGTGCATGATTATTGTTTATCAAATTTGCAGGGGCCTTGGTACAAGGCCATATACATTTTGTTTCTCCTTTGAGCTTAGTGAATTGATAGGAAAAAGTTCTCTTCATCCATGTACATGCATTGGAGCAATCTAAGTAGAGGGCTGTTGGACAGACGGAGAGAGATGGAAGAGGGCGTGGGAGTGGGGTGTGAAGACGCCAGTGCTGAACAGGAGAGAAAAGATAGCAGATGGTAGCGGCGGGAGCAAGGAACGGGTGTGAAACGTAAAGAGGAAAAACAGGAAATTCCCTAAAGGGACTCCCCAAAGTTGCACAACCATTAATGCACCTGCTGTCTAGGGGAAGGTGATTTGAAGGGAAAAACACATAATTTAGGGATATAAAAACTGATGCTAGCATGTCTATCCCTACCAGAAGTTTACAGCTAAGACACATGCTGATGACACATGCCAATGCCGTGATGGAAATGGGAGCCTGACTCTTCTGTGATTCTGTGTAGATTTTACAAGGGCTTTGAAAATTATTTTTTAATTTTAGTAATCAAATGACACAAAATTGTCATGCCTACAGTTATGCCAGTGTTCTAAGAGCAGCACTAAAGTTACTGTCAGTGTTACTGTCAGTGTAAGATCTCTTAGTAGTGCCATTAAGATTTTTCTTGAAGATAGAAAACAGACACTGAATATTTCTTGTAGAAGTCGACACGCAAACAACAAGCAGATGTGGGCAGGGCACATACCGAAGCGGCATTTTGGCCCAATCGCTACATCTCTGAAAACCTTCCTTAGCGTAAATGACTGTCCTTTCTTCAGTGTTCTGCTTGGCATTCTCATGCATCTCTTCAGCAGGCTGTTTTCTTTCTTTACTTCTAAGTGTGGGCTTCCGTAAGGTTTGTGACATCTGTCTTCCTACGTTCACCTTACCTCCCTTCATGACTGTCTTAGGTTCAACAACTACTGTAGAGGATGGTTCTTTCCTGCCTCTCATTTCGCTACTGAACTAAACTTCCTACTGAGTGGGCCGAGTGATGGTAGACATTCTGGACAGTCAGGTGCCTATGGGGCACCCTCCATCTTCAAGGTACCTCACTCCTTACTAGCTGTGATCACAAAGCTCTCTAGACTGTTCTTCCAGGATGCCTGTTTTACTGTGTCCATTCTTCCCAGAGCCATGGTTTTACTGCTGTGTTTACTCATTCAACAAGTGCTCACAGAGTTCTTGCTCTGAGTCACATCAAGAGCCCATCTCATTTTATTTCCTATCTGTGGTAAAAGTTATTCATTGGTAAAACAACTACTTGAAATAGACCCTTCCTTAGAGTCCTTAGACTAAAAAATAATCGGTACTCACTTGACAAGATGGTGTGTGACTTTCTTCACTCGACTAGAGAAAAAAAAAATGCTAACAAAAAGACTGCAATTTGATTATAGAATTTTGAAACAAGTTATAGCTTGGTATTTCCATACAAGAGCCTTCTCTTTGACAGCTACATACACTGCCAGAGGTATGTACCATGTCACATAAAACATTTATGTGTATATAAATATTCACCGAATGAAGATGTCAAAATTTGAGTAAAACTTAAAAAAGTGTTGAAGGTGGGAAAGGGAAAAGGAACAAGAACAGCCAGAGTCACCATTCATTTGTTGTTACCGGACCCTTTAAAGTTGTATATAGTTATAGAACAAATAAAAAACCAATCACCGGAAACTCAGAGGTGAAATGAAACAAATCTAGTATGTAGCCATGGCATGACCACTAAATGATCCTAGGACACACCTTAGGGACAAAAAGTACCTTACTAAGAAGCATTCCTAGTAATTACCAGATACCTGATCACAGGATAATAGGTAGTCTCCTCTTATCCTTGGTTCTGCTGTTTCAGTTCCCATGGGTAAGGGTGGTCTGAAGATAATAATAGCAGGTTTAAGGGGTGCATCTCAGTAGTAGGGCACTAGCACATGGACAAGGCTTTGGGTTCAATCTCTAGTTTGCACATGCATACACATACATAAGTTTTACATTGCATGTCATTTTGAGTGGCATGATGTAATTTCCTGACTTCCCACTCTGCTCTGCCTGGGATATACACCATTCTTTTGTCAGTGCGCCCACCATGAATATGCTACATTAGTCACTTAGCAGTTGTCAGGGCTATTTTTTTTTTAATTTTTTTGTGTGTATGAATGCATGTATGTTAGTACACCCATGTTGTGCAAATGTTCACAGAGGTCAGAAGAGGGCACTGGATTCCCCTGGAAATGGACTTACAGATGGCTGTTAGCTGCCACATGGGTGCTGGGAACTGAACCCGGGCTTGTATCCAAGTACCCTTATGCAGTGGACAAAGATTGGGTCACTCAGTTCACTTTCATCTCATTATAAAGGCACTGCTATCTCCTATCCTAAGAAAGGCGAGCACAACACAAGATCTTCAGGACACATTCACCCGGTTTTTATTAGAGTGTAACTTCTATTTTATTGTTGTTAACCCTTTTGTGTTACTTATAAATTTTGCATTACTTGTAAATTAAGCTTTATAATGAGTACACATGTATAGAAAAACATGTATATAGGATTTGGCATTATCCACAGTTCCAGGCATCCACTGAGTCTTGGACATACCTCCCACATGTAAGAGGAGATACTCCATATTTATATGCTGGTATTGGGAAATTCCTTGAGGACTGAAATTTTGGTTTTGGTTTGTTTTTTAAAATTATCTCACTCTGTGGCTAAGGCTGGCCTCAAACTCATGGCAGTCCTGCTTCAGGCTCCTAAGTATTAGGATTACAGGCATAAGCCACCATGCCTGGCTCAGGACTGAGGTTTCTGGTGTGAGAAAAGGAAGTTAGAGGTACAAAAATCAATGGTTTTAAGAACCTTGCAATCCTATAATTGAATTGGAAGTGCTGATAAGAGCTCTTGTTGTATCTTATTTTAAAAAAAGAAAATCAAAAGGAGTTGCAATAAATAGTCCTAGGGCCCAGATTGAGGCTCTAAATATATTTCCTGCCAAAAGCAGCCAGAGCTCCTTGAAGCCATGACCAATTCCAAGTCTGGATGGCAAACACAAGGAGCCTGAAGAACTCATCTGTCAGAAAGAAAGGAAAGCACCAAAGACTGTCACTATCATGTCAAAGGCACTCTGGGCAACCTGAAGAGGATTCCAGTGGTAAGAATGGGATAATCTGAGTACAAAGAATAAGCGTTGTGAAGGATTAAAACATTTCAAATCTCAGAAAAATTAAAAACAAAGAAACATCTCACTAGTCACTTCTGGAGAATGTTGGGGAACCAACCTGCTTAAAATGCCAAATACAGGGGCTGAAGAGATGGCTCGGCAGTTAAGAGCATGTACTGTTCTTGCAGAAGACCCAAGTTTGGTTCCCAGCACCCATGTCTAGTGGCTCACAACCGCCTGTAACTCCAGATCCAGGGGATCTGCCACCTCTGGCCTCTGTAGGCATTTGCACTCATATGCACATACCCACACAGAAACACACACTTAAAAATAAGTCTTTTTTAAAATGTAAACTAAATACAGGGCA